ATATATATATATATATATATATATATATATATGGTGTAATTTATCCTTAAGCAGTCTTACTAAAAATGCCATTGTGTGGGAAAGGGGAGCATAGAGAGCAATTGCCAGAGAATAGGCATGACAGGCCCAGACTCTGAGACAAAGTGACCTCAGATCTGCCAGGGGACACTCAGGGCTGGTGGGCTGAACCTACTTCACTCAGATTTGTCATCTTGGCCAGTCCTCAAACCTCCTGCCACAGCTGCCAGCCCCTGGCTGCAGGGACACTACCAGACTCGCACCTCAGAAGACAAGTACCTTGTTTTCCTTGTAGAGAAACTCCAGATGGAGAACTTTGCGGAGATCGTTTCTGCTGTTGATGCTGAGCTCACAGCGGGGGCGCTCCTGGTCCATGGTCACAAACGTCTTGTTCAAACCCTGAGGGAAGAAGTCTAAGTCACTGGTCATCATTTTAAATGAAAACCTTCCCTCTCTGACGCAGTATAAACAGAGGACTGCTGGGGCTCATTAGGACGGGGCTCATAGCCTTCCTTACATGGTCATGGCAGGAGCCCAACGCTGACTTCAGAGTTCATTTTCATATAACCTTGTCTTCACAGCGTTCTCAGTTTGGTTTGGGGTCAGCTAAGGCTGGGCTTGTGGACTCATTTTATAGATAACAATGAAATTCAGGAATTGGCTTGCTGTTCAGCTCAGGGGCTCCGTGTTTTGTCTAGACTTGGGGCTATGAAAGATGAACTTTTAAAAATAAATGGACATTAAAAAAATAAAAGCAAAATTACAGTCAAAAGGCCAACCATTGTTCCCTTAATTTTTCAGCCAAGGAAGCCAGGAAAAATGTTTGAAGTCACATGGTAGAGACTGACATCAGTCTAGCCGGGAAGTCTGTTTGGGGCACAATCCCTTACAGGGCACCTCATGAATATCTGCCAGCAAATTACTACCCATCACCCCTCCCTAAACACCCAAAGACTACAGTAAAGAGAGGGACTCCTGCACCTGCCAAGAGCTTGGCATCCACATTTGAAAACAGCCGTAACAGCTGTTTCATCCCCATCACAGGACACTGTGACTACCAAGTGCCTGTCAAAGATGTCTCAACCCTTTCCTTCTGCCCAGGGATAGCCCTTGTTCCTGATGGATCCCAGACCCCAAGTGCCATCTAGGTAGGCCTCAACTTTTCCCTCAGAACTTTACAGTGGCTCCAGCTGCTAGAAAACAAGACCAAACTCATTGCCTGCCATGAGTTTTGATTTAAAAAGTGAATTTGGAAAAGTTACAGTCAGTGTTGAACCAGAGAGAGTGAGTGGGGTCTTAAGAAAAAGCATGAGAGAAACAAGTGGGGGGGGGTGTTTGCGCATGCACTCACAAAAGCACACTGGAGAAAAGAAGGAAGGCCGGGAAGCCAACTACCTGCATTCTGCATCCTTAATTGTTCTTATTCTCACCAACCAACCTGATAGGGAGCATCCAGAGATGAAGGTTCTTCTCTAGTTACCTGCCTCAGATTCACCAAGTCTCAGTGCATCTAACACACAAGTGTATACACACACACACACACACACACACACATCAAAGAAAAAAGGCATGCTCCCCAAGCTGGCTCTGAAGCATATCATCACCCAGAAACCAACGGGGGAAGTTACAGGCACCCTGTGCAGGTGAGTCTCATCCATTTCACTCAGCTAAGGTTTGCCCTGCACCCATGGTGTGCAAGACTCTGTTCTTGGTACAGGAGGAAAGAAGGAAGGCAGGCTAGCATGCTAGGGAAGCGCGCCATGATGAAAGAACAGTCTGTCCACTGCAAAAATATACAAGGGGGAGGGGAGACACAGATAAATAGACAGAGAAGGCCAGGAGAAACTGTTATAGAACGTAGTCAGGAAGTGATCCCTTGGCTACATGACAGTGGAACAGAGCCATCAGGGGAGTCAGAGAGCAGGCCCTGGGAGCACCTGGGGGCACAGCGCTCCATACAAGGGACAGCAAGTACAAAAAATCCTTCAGCAGTTTCAAGAGCACGGTATCCAGAGCTTCAGAAGAAAGTGACAGGAGGTACAGCCAAAAAGGTCACCCAGGGGCTAAGGAGATGGCAAGTGAATGAGGTATGGAGATTGTAGTTCTAATCCCCAGCACCCACATAAATCCTGGGGGGATGTAAGGCCCTCCTGTAATTCCAGCACTTGGAAGGCAAAGACAGAAGTTTCGAGGATTCCCAGGGCAAATTAGATAGTTAAAATAGCCAAGTTGGTAGGCTCGTCGTTCAAATGAGAGACCCACCTCAACATGTAAGGTGGAGTGAGCTGGAGGAAGGCACTTGATATCAACCTTGCACTTACACACACCTGTGCACACATGCTGGCAAATATGCATATGCACCAACACACGCACGTGAACACACACACACACACCTACATGGAAAAATAAACAGAAAGGGCACCTATAGCCTGAGGATTACGACTATAGAAAAGGTTAAGAGAGGAAAGTCAGACTGGAGAACTTGGCTGCTGAAGTGAAGACAGATTTAGGGACAAGGTACTAAGTAAGCAGTGACCATTTAGAAGGTTCTTGGGTGACTCACACGATCTACATGGAAAGCAGGAGCAGCTTGAAGCAGGGTATCAACACAGAAGTCCTGAGAGAGGATTCCATTCTCTCTGTGCTCTGATGGTAAAGCTGACGGAGCGGACAGGAGGATAACAAAGAGGAGATGATCCCCTAACCTGCAGGGTCCTTGCTAACTCTGAGCAGTGGTGGGAGTGTGGGACGCCCAGCTGGCATTCAAGAGATGGACCCTTGGCTGGTAGAGAGGAAAAACATGCATATTTGGTGTTGGAAATCTGAACGGAAACACTAGCACCAGAACAGAAACATGCTGGATGCCAAAGAGAAGTTAGTGGAGATATCAAAGCAAGGTCAGCCAGAGAGGACACTCTGGAACCGCCATGTTACAGACAGCATCAGAAGCCATAAAGCAACTCTGAGATGCCTTAAGGAGGGATGTGGAGAAGAAAGAACAGAGACGGTCTTTGAGCCAGGGTGCTACACAGCACTTGCTGTTGGGAAAAAGAGAAACACCCAGCAAAGAGCATGAGGAAATGTCACCAGGAAGGAGGAGAGACGGCTGGAACAGGTAGTGGGAGTCAGATGAAGGACAGAATCCACAGTGCGGGCACTTCAGAGCTAGAGGGACGAGGAGGACAAAGTAACGTTGTTGAGAGTGATGTCCGAGGAATGGGATGTGTGAGAAGTGAAGACGGACTGAGGATCACAGTGTCCACAGCTCTTTCATAGGGTTTTGCTACAAAGGGGAGAAGACAGTGACTGGGTTAGACTGGGGGCCGCGCTGAGTTCCTGTAGTGAGGAGAAGTGCTGAATGGATGCCCCATTAAAGGAAGGACCGCCACTCGTACAGTGAGGATGCTGAGGGCCATGTCCTTGAGCATGATGACACAGAGGGGTTCAGGCCTGTAGGGTTAGTGTGGTGGAGGGGAGGGGTGGTTCAAAGAAGAGCCTGAGGGACGCTCGTTTTTCCTGACGGTCTCTGTCCTCTGAGCGAAAATGTACGGGAAGCAGGAGAGGTGTGGAAAGGTACGGGAAGCAGGAGAGGTGTGGAAAGGTCACGCAGCGTCTGAGAGGAGAACAGGCTACAGAGGGGCAGTGAGAGGGCCTGTGCCTGGAAAGCACCATGTCATTCAGCCACCACGGGTTTAAGGTAAAGCCATCAACATGGAGGTATCTTTGTGCAATCCAGTTCAGCTCAGTGGTGCGAGCATGGAGTAGGACAAATTTAATTTCCCCCAGAGCAGGGCAAGTGTAACAAACGGTGAGAAGTTAAAAGACAGCCTAGTCCGTGGCAGAGCATGGAATTGTAGTGAAGTGAGAGGAAGAGGCAAGAAGGTCTTACATTAAGGCCGGGGCTGTGTGACATGGGCAGAGACAACGGACTGTAACATAGAACGGTTTGGGACTGAGAAGGAATCCATCTGGAACCCAGATGGTGGAAAGGGAGGACAGGTCCGTGGCATGACTGTGGCAAAGACAAGTAGCCGACGGATGGAAGCCATGTCACACTGCAGGAGAGAAGCCAAACACACAGGAGCCTGGGGCACTAGAAAAGTCACTTCTGGGGACCCTTAAATGGCCAGGAGGCATCATGAGTCTCCTGAGGGTAGATCACATGCCGGAGGGTAGGATTTGGGAAATGTCAAAGGGGAGATAGGTCTGAGGGCTAACCAGGCTACACACAGCCTTCTGGAAGGGTGCTAAGAGAGGACTCAGGACAAGGAGGTATCATGGTCCTGTCTGCTCACCCTGGGCAAGTTTCTTTGCTTCCTTGTCTCACAACACTCTGATATGGAAAGGAACAGTGTATGTATACTTATCTTCCAGAATGGTTAGGAACATTTGAGAAGATCAATTGCCATCAAGGAGGTAAACACAGTGGGGAAAAGGCCTGTGGTGATCACAAGGTCTCTGTCCCAGAGCGGAAGCAAAGAGAAAAGTAATTATAACCGTACATGCTGATATGCACCTGTACTTCCAAATACAGAGGCAGGAGAATCGAGAATGTAACGACAGCCTGAGCTACACAGAGAACTTAAAGAAAGCCTGGGCAATGTAAGCACAGCCCTGTCTCAGAACCACTGCAAGAACCAACACCAATAACATAAGCAGTTGGTTGCCCTAGCCCAAAGTTCTGGCTCTCTGTAACTTAAGTTAGGGTTTCTATTGCTATGCTGAAACACCATGACCAAAGCAGCTTTGGGGGAGATGTGGGGTAGAGTGAGTGTAATTTGGCTTACATTTCTATGTCACTCAAGGAAATCAGGACAGGAACTCAAACAGGGCAAGAACACAGAGACAAGAGTCTCCATGCAGAGGCATCCATGAAAGGATGCAACTTACTAGCTTTCTCTTCAGAGCTTGCTCAGCCTGTTTTCATATAGAATTCAGGACCAGCAGCCCAGGGATGGCACTATCCATAACAGACTGGGCACTCCCTCATCAATCAGTAATTAAGAAAATACCCTAGAGGCTTGCCTATAGCATGATCTTACAGAGGTATTTTTTTTAATTGAGGTTCCCTCCTCTCAGATGACTTTAGCTTATGTCACATTGACATAAAACTAGCCAGCACAGGTAGTAAATGAAGACACCCCTCTTTGTACATTTAGCTATAAACCATGGGAGGGAGAGGAGGCCACGCAGGTAGATGGCTTCTGAGGTGTTACCCAGTTGGGAGGTCAGCTTGGTGTCTCTGTGTAGGAGGGGAAACAAGCAGGTATGACCACTGTAATAGAAGTACCAATACACAAACAGTCAAGGTGAGTCCAAGGACATTGCTGATCAATTCTGTTCATGGGAGTGATCAGAAGAGCTTGGGAAGAAAC